TGTTTTGTACGTGGTGCAAAATCAATATTTGAAAACAATATGGAGGGATAACACTCATAGGTCTGCACTGATTGGTCAGCAACCCATTTTATTTACTGCCGCACCCTGACCAACCCGTAGCCAAGTGGATTCGGGAGTTCATCACTTGACATTATCCATCAACTGTTGCCTCCACACTGCCGGATTACAGGCGTGGGCCACCTCAGAAAGAATATAGTGCGACTGAGAAACGAATAAGTATAACCCGTAAAAACAACGTTTTTCACTCTAAATCCTTCATATGCGTGGCGGCTAGAGTCCTCTCGTCCTCTGGCTTGAGATGGCTGCCACCTATGGGTCAGATGATTGCCTGCCACCATTAAGCAATTGGTAATTAAATATTTAATTTGTTTTCCCTAAACAGTGTAAAATTTAGGAATTTTTTTTCACGAACATTAATTGTCTCGCACAACGAGTCTGTGTGCAAAATGTCAGCTCGATTGGATCACGGGAAGTGAGTTAAAAAAACGACCGAAAGATTTGCACGGTCGTAAGCAAGCAAGCAAGCACGCAAGCAAGTGAACTTAATATAAAGGATTTTAAAAGGAGATGATGATGGTGAAGACAATGTTGAATATTATGATGGGGATGATAGCGATTATCACGTCGATGGGGATGGTGATAATGAAAATAATGATACAGACAATGTTTTGAACGATGATAAATAATGATGCGGATGATGATGATGAAGATTATGACAGTGATAACGATGGCACGGCTGCTGCAGCTTAAACGAATGAGAGTCTGTGACATTTTTAAACTCTGTTTTCATTTAGTCACTCGTTATACCCATGTGTATAATGTATACGAGAGTTGTAACAACGTATCCCCTGGTGATTCATTACATTTTCTCGATACAGGGTCGCAATTATTATTTTAAAATCAACATTGGTGAATGTAGCGGCCACCAGCGGCTGCAGAACTCACGTGGACCCATTACGTACAATAAAAACGAATCGAAAATCGTTATTACACAAGTGATTCTATGCATGTGTTGTGGAGCTTAAGAATTTATATTAATCTTTTATTTGCACCCGATATATTTTGTATTTGCTATTTACGTCTGGAAATTGTCTATGTTTTGTTCACTTTATCAGACAGAAAAAACATAGAATTGCCTCCTATCCCTGGCCAAAATGGTGAGTCCACAACCCTAAAGCACATTTATTGTCAAGTACTGTACACTCCTATGCCAACATTGTATGACCAGGACTGCACTTGTTGATAATAAATAACCTCAGTCAAAATTAGCAATCAAACTCTATACAGAATATGTTATCATATATATGCACTGTACCAGCTTATATTATCATTTGCAGGACATTTTTGCGAATAACTCAGTCAGAGTGTCATCAAAAGCATAACAATTCGTAGTATTTTTTGTAGCACCATGAAATGTAGTAAAGTGATCATTCATGCCAATGATGGTGGAATATTGCTGTATGGCAGCCATTTTTAAAATGGCCACCGCAACTGACGTTGGGCGATTTGACAAGGGCCTTGTATCAGATCACCACCATAAGTGCTTGTACTAACAATGTGCCAAATGTAATGGCCTCATGAAAATAATCACAAAATGTGTTTTCCTAGCCTGCGCCTCAATAAGGGTGACGTGTTCAAATATTTACAGCATTTTTTTCCTGTACCACTGTCAACGCGGGTTTTGAGCTTTTGGTATTGCATTAGAGTCAACGATGAGGGCTGAAATTTGATTATTGAGAGCATAATTTGAAGTTGATTATCCAACAGTGGGCTAATATACTTCACCACTGCTCACAGCATTGGTAATATTCATCCAACAGACTTCGGGGAATATCACGGTGTCAATGAAGGAAGTGATCAGCTCTACACACTGATCTCACTACCATTAGCTTGACCTCCTTATTTAAAGAGGAAATTAGTCAACTCTTCCACGAAAATTAGATGTATTTATTCAGCAGAGCATTGTAGTTGCTGAAAGTCATTCCAAACAGGCATTTGGTGGTCTACAGCAAGTATTATTTCCCAACAAACTTATAAAAATAGCTGTATTTGTCATTGACTTTTAATTTTAAAAATGCATTTTCATTTGCAAACCTTGCTGAAGAAGCAATGGTGTACACTTTCAAAGATGGCAAACAATCGAGTAATTTAAAATGAATTCTATTTCATTGGAACAATGAAGATTGAACAACTATTATTATGAAATGTTTGATGAAATTTCATAACGTTATTTTAGAATGTATTATTATCGTGTAATGGTATGACATAATCTATAGTTGTACCAGTCTATAGCGAACATTAAATATATCTAGATTTGAAGCTTTCGTGACTGCAAGGATTCATATTCCTAGGTTTTTTCGGTAAAGTCACGTAGGTAAAAAAAAATAATAATAAAATAAAAATAAATTAAAATAACTCAATTAAATCACGACGATTTCATTGAGTTATTTTCATTAATTATGATTTTTGTTTACCTACGTGACTTTACCGAATAAACCTAAGAGTATTAAATATATTTATGTACAGAGTGTGGTGGGGCTGTCACTGATAGAGGTAGTGCGCTGAAACCTGCATGCTCGACAGAACCTATTCCTGTTCAGAAGAAATTCTGCGCTGTTTTGCATTTGTCTGATCATTTATACATGGCAGGGCACCCTGGAGGCTGTGATGAAAAAATAACGTTGCAATCAACTCTTGCCAATTTTTTATTTTTTAATAGTTCTCTGTAAACAAAACAAAAAAAATGTTGTTTTGTGTTCTTTTCTAATTCAAAGCAGGACCACTTTTGTTTAAAATTCACCTCAAAAACACCTTTAATCTTCTTGTTCCACTTCGCCCGTTTTCTTCTTCTCCTTCGTTTGGGAACCATTGAGGCATCAAGCAGCAGCAGTCTCTAGCCGAACATTGTGAAGGCATTCCCAACAAAATGATCATTGAAACATGACTTTAGTTGAACTAAAATGTATCTGCTTATGGTTGTCTGAACGCACCTCAATGTTTGTTTACTTACTGTGACATTTCGCGACGTTTAGTCTACATTTGTACATTTAAAACACATTTTGTGATGTGCAGCACTATATTTTAATCCACCTCAGCCACTTTGTTTCATGTATAAACTTCATAATATATGCACAGGTACAGTAATGTATATTGAAATTTCTGGATAATATAATGCGTTATATTAATATATACTTAGATTCATTTCTTGAAAATTTGCCGTTTTATTGTTAATGGAGACATGGAGCATGAATCAACGTTAGAATCTGGCCACAATGCCGAGTATAAACATGAACTCATTAACAGTATCTACAACTACACAAACAAGTCTATATCCTATACCATAGTCATTACTACGTAGTCATTTATATACGCATAAATCATGCAGTGTGTGTGCAGTGCCACATATGTATTATTACATGGAACAATGGTGCGTATACGTCGTCTAGACACAATTGCTGAAGGACTTACAGTTGGTATTTTCACATTATCCAGGCAAATCCGTCTGTGCTCTGCTGCCTGTCTTGACTTAGACGTGGATTAACTCTCCACTTGGCCCGACCCAGTCCTGCACTCAGATAGCAATAGTGGGCAAACTTTACAGCAACATCCTGCATCAAATGTACCATTCACAACACGTTCGCCAGAGTGAGTTTACATCGGGTGGCGGTGGCGTGGAGATCACGTGAGCAGGCTGTGCACCGGGACTGGGCCCCACGGGGCTGGATTGGGACATCTTTGAATTACTGGACAGACATCTGTGATAAAGAGCTTCATAGCTCATCGGATTCCTCCAGTGTTAAATAAATAGTCTGATTCGGATTGCCTCCGTGCCAGGCTGCGAAGAGCAGGAAATTGGTGGCTTTGTCAGGTGGCCTTTTAAAAAACAGAACCTTTTTTTTAAAATCATTGAATTACCATCCAAATATCAGCTCTCATCTTGGATAAATTCAGTATTTTATTTGCTCTGTCCAGTACTTTATATGCACACGAAATAGAATAGGGACTCTTATATAAACGTATGGACACTTATTTAAAAAATATTACATTGATTAAGGAACGTATTTTTGGAAGTAGAGCGAAGCTATAACAATATACATACAGTACTTGCCATGAATGGCCCTGGTAATAAGTATAACCCGTAAAAACAAAGTTTTTCACTATAAATCCTTTATATGCGTGGTGGCGAGAGTCCTCTCGTCCTCTGGCTTGAGATGGCTGCCACCTATGGGTCAGATGATTGTCTGCCACCATTAAGCAATTGGTAATTAAATATTTAATTTGTTTTCCCTAAACAATGTAAAATTTTGGGAAAAAAAAATATCACGAACATTAAATGTCTCGCACAACGAGTCTGTGTGCAAAATGTCAGCTCGATTGGATCACGGGGAGTGGGTTAAAAAACGACCGAAAGATTTGCAGGGTCGTAAGCAAGCAAGCAAGCACGCAAGCACGCAAGCAAGCAAGCGAACTTAATATAAAGGATTAAAAAAAAATTCACATACGCACAAACAAAGCTTTATATAGCTCATCCGCATTAGACGTGGCTATTCTGATTAATCTAAAAGAGAACCGTAGGGGGGCATGTTACGTCATGGGAGGGGAAATACCCCGCACAGATATTTACGCGTTCATTTTGATCTCCTAAATTTCTCGTAACACAAATTGTCATCGTTGAAACTGATCTTGGGAAAAAAAGTTACAGCAAGGGGGCAAGAATCCACAGAGGGACGCGATTTGCACGAATTCCGGTCGACGCTCCGTACCTAATCTGCGGACTTACAGTTGAAGCCTGGGTTTTACCCTTTTAACCATGGCCCTTAAACCTTTACAAACACGCTCTGGCATCAAATCAAGATTAAATTCCAGAGGCTTACGGGAAAAAAAGGAAGTGACAGATGGCGGGCTGTGTGACGCACACACAAGCTGTGTTTTCTTTTCCTCACCCACACAGCCAATGTATTTGTTTGTTTGCTTTCGACCAGCCCCTACCTCCACAGACACATTCGCTTGTTTGTTTAACAGCTCTCATAGTGAAAGCTCCCCGCTATGCATAGCTAGCAACCAACTAACTAACAAAATTATACGACAGTCTAGGCATACACATAACAAGTAACTATCAAGCCCTAGGACTGGTATCCAAACAAGAGGGCATTGCAAGTTGTGGGATTACCCGACGGACAGGTGTGAGGACGGCGGGATGTTTTGTACGGCGCTAGCACTGCAGCAGCCTGAAGACCAGGAGCCTTGCATAGCTAGGAGTTTGGCACGAAAGTCAAGTAGCAGCAGCAGCAGCATCAGCAGCAGCAGCTGTCTGGGAGACAAGCGCAGCGTACTCGCGTGCCTCGGCAAACAGTGTTCCATTGAAGAGGGCACTGCGGAGGCGCGAGTGGACAACGGTGGACCCGTCAGTCACCTGCTGCACATTGGGCATGCCGAGCAGATTCCCGTGGAGTGCGTGCCCTTACGATGCGCCCTACTAAAGAGTGGACCTTTGGACGAGACGGCGGGGGGGTCATGCTTGGAGAAAAATGGGGGGCCTGCATTTTGCCTGCCCTTCTCAAGGTCCTGTCCAGACGTAGGCTCAGCGAACAATGAAAGGGAAGCGTTGTGGATGATGCTGGAGAAAGTGCTATGGGAGGTTAGGTGTAGCCGTCCTGAGGATGAAGACGTTGATCGAATTACTACCACTTGCCTGCCTCAATTCCGCTGGAGGAAACTCAATAAAAGAGGTATCCCGTCTTTGGCTGCTTTGTCTGTACCTCATCCCCATTTCTGATAATGCAAATAGCTGGTAAAAAAAAAACGAATTCCATGTGAAGATGGATGCAGGAATGTAAACATGCAGTGTTTTGGCCCAACATTGCCACGTGGTTGGAACCGTTAGCCCAACATTCCATGTTTACTGTGGTGCCAACAATACGTTAAAATGGCATTTACAACTTTGCATTCGAAATCCGTTTTTTATGACCGTTAAATTATTTGCCGTTACTGTGTCTATTATATTCCATTAGGGTTGTTAAACGATAACAATTTTCAAATAATTTACGGTTCCGAATGTCAGACATTGGTAATCGTTTCTGATGTTAACAACTTTCATTCATGGCAAAGCAAAACTGCAGATAATGGGCTAATGAAGAGACATTAAACATCGCAGCTCTTATTCTTTAGGTAACACAAGTGACTAGATGATGTTAGGAATACTATGGCATGATAAGGTAAGCAACTTGCAATGTTGTAGGTGTAATAAGGAAGAGGTGGTTGTGATGGTCAGGATGAGTGTGCAAGAAAAACTAAAACTAAATCAGAATATGTATACTGGAGGAATCCGATGATCTATAAAGCTCTTTTTCAAAGATGTCCAGTAGTTAAGAGGGCAGGTTACTGAAAGAGGGCATCTAGCAGAAGGGATGGCGAGGTGTGGTTTCAGCGGCAGAGATCATGATGACCTTTTGACCTTGAAACGAGTAAAGGTGTTTAGAAGTGGTTTCTCAGTGCTATAGGTCAGTTTCAGTGACGTTGGGTTGCTGTCGTGTTACTATTACCTGTACGCATACACACGTCATATTCCTCACAAGTTAAGTTTTGATATAATGTAATAATTAGAAAAAATATATAGAGCAAATGAGTGAATGTTATTAATAATTCAAATGGATGTGGCATATTAAATATACTAATTGCAGAAATGTGCATTAAGGAAAGCAATTAATTACATTTTTAATGTTTATAAATTAACTGGTGCACTAATGGAAAAAAAGGAAATCCGACTGTTGATGCTTTCAGAGGTAGGGGCAAATACCAATCGTGTTAGTGTTTTCTATTTTTTTTTTACCAATTTCGCATTCAATTTCAGCATCTGTAATCCCGTCACAACATCCACACCCCCTTCTGTCCATCCATTTATGCAGTTAGGGCTTAACTTCTCACTGGACATTTTCTGGCTCGTTCCTAGACAGGATTGGGCACGTGACTAGTAGCCACGGCAATAAAATTAAAAATAGGTATACTGGATGTGGTGTGCAGGTGTTCGTTCGTTTCTCAATCCGCTTGTCCTGGTGAGGGTCGTGGCGGCAGCGTGTTGAGTAGTGGCGGTCCACACCTCCCTCTCCCTGGCCACACTCCAGCACTACTACACTATACACTACACTATACACTACAATATACACTACTATACACTACTATACACTACTACACTATACACTACTACACTATACACTACTACACTACACTATACACTACACTATACACTACTACACACAGCTACACTATACACTACTGCACACTACTAACACTATATACTCCACTACTTTAAACAGATTCTAGCTCTTCCTGGGGAATTCACAGACGTTCCCAGGCCGGCTGAGTGACATCGTCCCGCCAGCAGCGTGTCCTGGGCCTGGACAGACCTGGCTAAAATTAACCCTGGATATCATGCCACAAGACATAAGCCAGTGTGGAAGAGTAAACCAAATGCTCTCTATTGGGACACTCTAGAGCTCTCGTGGTGGCCCATCCTCCAGCACAGGCGTGAGCTAGTCATATATGTATGTTGAACTTCTTTTGCACCGTACGTAGCCAAACTTTCGAATCATAAAGGTGCGGGGAACAGAGCTGCACCACTACCAACTTTATTGTACCATACGGACTCATACGTTCGTATCCAGCAGTATCCATGAACACGTTTACACGAATGCATGGACACCTTTTCAACACCTACTTCAACCAAAATTAATTTTCATTGGCACACACCCCACGCTTCGCCTTATAGACTGCAGGCAGGGACAGCACCAGTGTACAAGCATTTGTACCAGAGTTTCTCACGGAAACAAAGGACAAAAATCCCCCTTATAGACTTTGGGGCAAGTCCTGTTCGCGAGCACCAATGAAGGCCAGCATGGCACACGAGGGGTGGGTGGCCAGCACCACGCCCGCATGCACACACACACGCACATGTATCACTGCACACATGCAAGCTGTTCCTTATCTTACATAACACCATAATTAATTTGCTGAAAGATTAAGTAATCCCAAGTAATACGATACTGCTCTTTAACAAGAATAACAATTCGCAGTCCTTGGTTAATCCACTCCCGGATGAAAGCTTCAGTATGCCGTGAATGGTCGTGTGGCTTATTTGACCAGACTTCACCATGCTCGATGGTGTGAGTTGGTGAAGGGGGTGGTGGTGGTGGTGGGGGAGCAGTACTTGTTTAGATATCACTCCACTGATGCTAGCTGTGTCTAAGAATCAAACTTCACTTGTCCAATGTATAGCGCATCGCACTGACTACTGCACCACCGCCCCTTTGCCGGTGGCGCGGTGATTTCACGGCAAATGTGCTTCTATTAACAACATAGCTGCAATGTGTCCCAAAAAATCCATAGATCGAGATGTCTTGAACAAAAACTGCGTCAATTACCCAATGTCTCAACATAATCCGCGCGGCGAGTTTCGTAATTTCAGCGAGTTGCCCGTGATCTGATCTGACGCCGCTGAGACGTCACAATTGCGAGGGCGGCACAGAAGAGAGCGTTTGTCTCTTTGCGAAGCCGACATCGGCCGTCGTCTTAAACTCCATCCCTTTTTGGGGGAATTTTTTCGTTTTTTTGGTGCCTCTATTGCAGCTGCTATTGGAGGAAGCCACCAGCACAGCGGCACGTCCGCTATCTTGCCTCGTACTTCCGTTTGTCCAGCTGGATCCGCTAGTCCGGCCACAGATCAACTACACAGAAGCGGAATGTCACACTCATTGCTGCGTTTGGCTATTGTTTAAAATATATAATTACGCTTCACCATAGGGCCCTGTTGTCAATTCACTGCCGGATAAAGGTCTCCTGATGGCATATCGGTCACGAGGGTTGTTTGACCGTACTCCACTGCACTGACCAGTTAATTATAGCGGGGGGGAGGGGGGGTTAGAGTTAATGGCCCAGTGCTTTGATGGGGGTGGATCAGTTTAGATATCACACCACTTAGCGACTATCACGGCGGCCAATGCTCCACCCTAATTGTTTAAATTAAAATTATCGCTAAGTGGTGTGGTTTTTTTCTGGTGCGTTGATAAACTATTTTTTATTTATTCTGTTAGAGTTCCCAATCATGACACATAAAATGTCAGCATTTGGAAGTGCTCTATTATCAGTCATTAAAGCATCTAATATGTAAACTAAACATCCTCGCCACTTAAAGAGTATAATTGTGGCGTCAGCTGACGTTGATTGTTTCGTTTTTTTGTTAATTTATAATCCAGTGAGTTAGCATTAAAACAACACAGTTTTGAATGAAATAAATAAAGGTGTGTGAGTGGTAATGCTCCTCAGTTCGTGAGCTATAGATGTCTGGAGATAAATCTATAATTGTTCACTTGCACCTCCTTACATGTCCATGTATCGTTGCTTTTCCCACCAGTGCATCTCTGGTAGAAAACTGCATTTTTAAATGACGCAAAACTGACTCCCAAAAATCGAATTTGCAGCAATTTTTCATTTAAAATGTTTTAAATTATAGCCCAATGCTATCTGTGAAATTTCATCGGGCAACACATCCATGTATACCTCAAGTACAAAACTGCATCTCCCAATGGTAAAGAATTTCCCGTGGAAGCTGCTATCTGAGAACTACTTTTGAGATGCCTCCAGATAATCCCTTGTCCACAGGAGAGGTGCTGAACTCTCGCACTCGCCCCACGATAGAAACGTTTGTCACGTGGCAGTCAAACCAAAATGTAAACAAAACATCTAATTGAAACATGATTGTTTTATGTGTACAAATGTGCTGCCCTGGCTGGGAGGATTAACTTACCCTACTTGAAATTCTGCCTAACCACAGGATGGCTGCCAAGATATTAACCCAGGATCTTCATAGTACCAACACATTGCTGTGACATCTAAACCACAAAGCCATCTCTTAAATACACTGTTTATTTTAATCACCAGATTTGTATTCATTGTTCTTGTCTTCATCGTTGTATATATATTATGCGTGTGTGAGCAGGGTTATATGTGGTATGTATCAGGGGTGTGCAGTGTGTAGGAGTCTTGTTTATGACTTGGTGTCTGTAACTGGTGTGTGCATATGTGGTCTTAATTATGGTAAGTCACGTGTATGGTTATTGTGTTTTAATGTTGTGTATGAGTGGTGTGTACGAGGTATCCGTTGGTAGAATGAGTGTTGTTTGTGAATTGGTCTGATGAGTATTTTGCGAAGTTAATGCACTTGCTCTCAGAATAGGCAATGGAGGCGTGGACTTCCTTGTGGAAGGACGATACGGAAAATGTATTTGTCACGTGTCCTTGCTGACCAACCCTGTTTTCTGAAATATGTTGAGTCGCTAATTTAATTTCAGACTACCATCATACAAGCCATCTTACACCAATATGAGATATGCAATGATTTAGTAATATTACAAGTAACAAATATGCGATTGAGCGTTGAAGACGGAGAGAAAATTAGTGAAATCAAGAATGATGCTGATGATGTGCATGACAGATTAGTGCTTGCGCGAATGAGTGATCAATATTAATTGGAGCGTATTAGGATGGGAGTCTTGGAGCCATCTGTGCGTTGGTAATTCTACGGATGATGAATGAGGGAATTGAGTGAGTGAGATCATAGGGAATAAGGCACATTTTCTTAAGCATTAACCCAGATACCCAAGTAGAACCGTTCGGAAAGATCACAAGACTGTTGGAGCTATTCCTATGATTAAAAGTATCATCGTTACAGTAACGTCTAGGCACCGTAATTGGGTGAATGGATTATGAGTGCTATCGCAAAATCATATTGGTTATCGTCAACTGAAAACTAATTTCTTTAAAACTGCCTTATTCGCCTTCATCTTCTTGGTTCTTTCGGTAAAGTCACGTAGAAGGGAAGTAATAAAATAATAAAAATAAACATAATAAAATATTCTCACGACGTTTCGGCCACAACGCAAGCAGCCGTCCTCAGGTGAAAACCAGGTCTGTCGGGGAGACAGCGTTAAGTTTGTTGTCCTTCCCCTGCACGTCCGATTAGTGGGGTTGGCTAAGTATGGTGCGAAATAAGTTCACACCATATATACAACTGCATGCTTCGTGCTCTCTCTCTCTCTCTGCAGCAATATCGTCAAACACACTCCCCATGCAGCAGGCACGGCCCCTGCCCGTGATCCCCAACACACCGACGGCACCGATACCGAGTGGCAAGTCCAACAACAGCAGCAGCAGCAGCAGCAAGAAGAAGAAAAAGTTCTGCAAGGCTGACATTGGGATGCCCAGCAACTTCCAGTGAGGCGGCAATGTCAGAATCCTCGCACACGCAGAGTTATCTTGCTGAAACAAAGACACGGACAAATAGCCCCCATGGAGCCTGAACAGACTGTTGTGGAAAATGCTGTTAGCGCGCACGGCACTGGACGAGCTGGGTGGCCAACGCCACGCCCGGCCGCCTTTGTCTCCTCAGTGGTAACTTTACACACCGCACCGGGTGAGTCGACCCTGAGAAGGCCCATGACCGGTTCAGATAATCAAGTTCAAGTTCATTTATTAGGTATAGCCCTGTGAGCCATTCGGCTCTTGAATCGGGTGCAACCGCAGCAAACAAAAAACAAGAACAAAACATCTTAAAGTGAATATGTGACTGAGTGAATCGTCACTGGTGTTGGCCGTGAGTGGGATTCAAACTCGGGTCGCCGGGTTCGTAGCGCAGCGTAGCGCTAACCGCTACAACTGCAGCTCCACATCGAAGAGGAAATTGCTGAAACACACCTCCGATTAGTACGGTCGGCTACGTACGGTGCAAAAATAAGTTCAACGTACTTACATATATACACATTGCAACAGACGTAGCACCCAACATTCAACGTTGACTCAACGGTTCCAACCACATGCCATCGTGGCATGTTGCCCGGGATGGGGTTACTCTGCCGGCACGTACATATGCGGCCGTGATCCTGACTGCGAGAGGCCACTCGTCTGTAATGGGCCACTTTCTAAACGCAGAACAAAAATAATGAGAGAATTATATGGCAGGGACCTTGAAATTGCTTCCGTTTTGTTTCAACGGTTCGTTGTGTATTTCAGACACGTTGGACACGTTGGATGGGACCCCAATGCTGGCTTTGATGTGAGTAAATACTTATATCAAGATGGCATAATTATCATATCCCTTTCTAAAAAATCCCTCCTTTTTATGGAGAGACTCGACCTTGCCATAGGAATGAGGAATTTCCATTCGTTGTCAAAGGGCTGAAAACGGTGGTGAGATGTTAACTACCTGTATACAGAAGGTCGTGGGTTTGATCAGGAACCCTGACGACCTGTATATTTGGAGTTTGCATGTCCTCCCCGTGGTCACGTGGATATTTCTCTGGGTCCTCCGGTTTTTCCCTCCACATTTACAAACACGCGTTTAGAGTATTTTAGCTACTATACATTTTCACGTGATAAGCCACTTCGTTGAGATATCATTTGTGACCAGGTCACTTCTGAAAAAGAGCTATGTAGCTCAGTGGGGCCTTGCGTGGTAAAATAAAAATAATGAAAAGTTAATAGTTAGTCATAGTTAGTTGCAATGCCCGATTTGAGGACATCACTTTGACGACAACACGCCACCCTTATTCAACCCCCCCCTCCACCCCCCCGCTGCAGACCAACGTCATGGACCCGCAGCTGAAGAAGCTCTTCGACAGCGCTGGCATCTCCGAGTCGCAGCTCAAGGACAAGGAGACGTCAAAGATCATCTTCGACTTCATCGAGAGCCACGGCGGCCTGGAGGGGGTAAAGACCGAGATGTCACAGCAGCGTAAGTCGACGCTGAGATCCCGCGCCACTCGCTCGTCGCGTGCAACACCACGATGGCCGCTCGTGACGTCCAGTACGAGCTACGCGAGCCGTTGAGGAACATCGGCACAGCTGATGGTGTCCCATGTGAAGTTGGATTTTTTTAAACTATTTTTATACTGCAAAAAAAATTGCTAAAGATGTGGCCACTGAGATTGCTGGTCCTTTGGTGTTGCGTCTCGATAGTAGAATGAGTGAGGCGCTAAGCTAAGGACAAATGAAATCGGGGTGCGATACTTCGACAACCATTTAATATTGCAGCGATTGGTAGGACCTTTGGTGACTGCAGTAGTAACATGAAGCCATTATTGAAATGTACATCCAACTTACATATGAATGTACTTTTACACTCACGATTCTATCAATGTTTTGCGAGCACAAGAATTTGATATTAATTGACGAAACAATGCTTTTTTTAACTCCTTTCCTCTTTTCTCTACCTTTTCAAATATTTCCGCAGCCTTGCGAGTAATTTTCTAACCAGTTGAGATCTCACAGCAACATACTAATGTAATCTTGACTTAATATGTTATATACCCGCGGAAATTGTACTACATTTTGTTATTGGAGTGTGGAATTTCCACCTCAGGCCCAGGTGCGCCTCTGTAGATAGGTCATCACCCACTCCTTTCCTGGGCATGAAAACACTTTGACTTACGATTCTCAAATCGTAACCAGTTTTGTGTCGATTGCATACACTGTGCTTCATGCTTCTCCGGTGACCAGCAGCAGGCTTTACCTGATTCATATCGGGTTTAGCGTCACTCTCCACAGGAGTTGAGTGTATTTCTTGACTCGCCGGTCCTGCTGATCGTATGTTTGTGCTTAGCAGGAGACGTTAAGCAATTTAGAACTTTAGGATGGCTGTGCCTTACAAGCAAATCAAAGTAACCGTAATGTTTGGGGGGGGGGGGCACATTTTATAAACGTTGCTTTTCAAATGTCGCGAGTTAGAAAGTCAGCTACTCAACTATATTTGCGGCAAGTTTTAACTCCCTAGCCCCTGAACGATAAAAATTCTAATTTACATCAGTGACTTACTTCCGTTGCCACCATCAGCCATGGTCAATCTACTGCTGGATGAAGACCTTCCAAAGGCATCGCCATCTATCACCATCCTGCCATGTAATACTAATAATAATTTCAACTTGTAGCATTTACTCACTCTCGTAGAGAGTAGGCCTCGGCAAGGTAAGGAAATTTACCATTTTTACCGGGTAAAATGGTAAAGGTAAAGTGTAAAGGTGTCGACATGCCAAGGGGTAAGGTAAAGGGTAGGGTAAAGGTAGCGCGAAATATTACCCGGTAAATACCTTGTTTACCGCTCGCTAAAAGCTCTGTGGCGCAGTCCGTGGCTTCCATTTAAAATTGGAATCATCGAGAGTATTCTATACTAGCTTTACTACCCGGCTTCGCCCAAGATTTGGATTCTTGTCTTGGATTAATACACGGGCTACGTGGAGGGTGGGGGGGATGCGTGACGTCAGTAGGCACACTGCGTGACGCTGCCGCATGCGGGTGACATCACAGATGTGACGTCACCGCTCACTTGCCGTGCGAAATATATCCATTATTGCGCCCCCCCCCCCCCCAAAAAAAATACAAAAGTCTATTTTTATACTTTTTGCATTGTGTACAGTCTGGAAGCTGCTCACATGCCAAATTTCAAGTTTGTTTCATGTTGGGAAGTATGCTCTAAACATTTCGAACAGACACACATATTCACAAATTTCCCTTATATATAGATGAATAAAGCTCTCTACCTAGCATTTACCTGTTATAAACCTTTTTCACGTGTAGTACCCCAGTAATTACCCTGTAATCGGGTAATTTGTATGAGGTAAGGGTAAAAGGTAGGGTAAAGGTAGGCTTGTTGCTTTTGACCTTTACCTTACCTTGCTAAAGGGTAAAATGTAAGGGTAGAGTGATTGTATTGTGGTAAGGTAAAAGGTAGGGTAAAGGTGGGCTCGTTGTTTTTACCTTTTACCTTCCCTTGCCGAGGCCTAGTAGAGAGAGAATGGCTCAGAGGCGCAAAGAACCAGAGGCGAGCGGAAAGGCAGCCAGGCAGTGAGCCGGCACCAGCAATTTCCCAAGCTCTGTGATCCTCTATATATTAAGGTGTTATCGGCCAATGAGTACTTACATGAGGAAACCGGAGCACACGGAGAAAATCCACGCACACAAGGGGAATCACTATCCCATACAGATGGAACAGATTGAGCCCACATACAGATGGAACAGATTGAGCCCACACCTTGCTGTCCTGCCTTCTTCTGGAGAGACAAGGCATGCCGTCTCGATGACCACGGGAAGGGAGTTTCACAGTGTTTGTGTGATCCACCAACACTCACCTCCACAGTGCTGGATTCCAGGCGGGCACCACCACTGCCCGGCAATAGCCACAGACGTAGCTCTCGCCTGCCGAGCACCCACGCACGAGCAGATGCTTTTATTATGACTGAGCCACGTGCAAATGTGCGTCTGTGTGTATTCGACATGCCGTGCGAGTGTTATTATGTTGAACCACAACGTGCATTTTGTCTCCCTTACTGATCGATCATCCACCAACGCGACTGCCTCCGCCAGCACCCAGGGCCGGCCCGCTGCCACCAACACCCCCCCAGATAGAAGCCCCGCCGCAGCCCTCCAAAGGTCGCAGCCACAACTCCCGCCCGCTGCCCTCCCGGCCGTGCCCTACTCTGCCCCCGAGCCTGCCGCCGTCGCCGCAGCCGACGCATCAGCCCCCCTTCAACAGCAGAGCCGTGCCTCCACCGCCCCCACCGCCCACCCAGCGCGGTGTTGCCTCCTCCCAAGCGCCGCCACCGCCGCCACCTCTGCAGGGTCCGAGGGCACCGCCGTGCGGGCCGGCCCCGGGCCCCCCGGCAATGTCGGCGCCGCCGCCACCGCCGCCGCCGCCCCCGCCGGCGAATAAACCCCCTCCACCCGGGGTACCCCCTCCACCTGGGGTACCCCCGCCACCCATGCAAACTGAGCCACTTGCCCAGGGAGGAGGTGGAGGAGATGGAGGAGGAGGAGGAGGGAGACGCGGGGCACTGCTGGACCAGATCCGCCAGGGTATCTCACTCAAGGCTGTGAGTTGACGCAATCGGTCTTGAGATTCGACTTCGTCGTGCGTCTTCTTTCAAATGTTTTTTTAATGATTTATCACCCCGCAATGTTATTCAAATTGTGCCATCGACTTCACGCCACGAGACGGAAGTGTCTGAATTAAATGAAGGGACGTGTTTTTATGTTTCTCCGATTCACGAGCTGCACATGAGCCCCATCGAGGTTGATCTATAATTGTGTTCACTTGAATTTGCACACATTTAGATTCATGGCCACTGTCACAAAATTGCGTTCGTGGTAGCAATCTGCATTGTGCAGCGGCTGATGAACTGGATTCTTGCCCTGCATCTACATCAGCCGTACAAAGAAGAAGACCGTGTGCCTGGCGAACCATTCACCTCTTCCGACATCCACCGTGCGTAAACACGCGTGTCATGTTCCCCTTGATCGCAGGCTGAGCTCACGAGCCCTGCCTCACCCTCTTGCACGGAGGATGTTCCCGGTATTGCGGGTGCGCTCATGAAAGCACTGGAGATGAGAAACAAAGTCATCCATTCCTCCGGTGAGAACACAACGCTTTCACGCACCGCTTTCCACCACCATCATCAGGAGCATTTAATTCGGCTGATTATGATCCTTTTTAAATATCGCTCTCAAATGGGGCCACTGTAGATGTTCATCATCAGCCATGGTCCAGTCCACTGCTGGATTTAAGGCTTCCCTCAAGCCAGCAGCCACCACTCTTGATCCCACGATCCAACAATCCACCTTGCTCCTTTACAAGAAGTGATTTCATCGCTCCATCTCTCGTAGTCGACATTCTGCCATGCGCATTCAACTCCCTGGCTGCCACACTTTGCCAGTCTGAGCCTAAACTATCTCGTCATCTCCAGACAGTGTCCCACCTCAGTACTAACCAGGCCCAAAATCCAGCTATGCTTCCAATATCTGATGAAATTGGTTACATTTATATTCAAACGAAAAGTTTTAGCTTCTGTACAAAAATATTATTCAGCTGCGTGTGTTTAGGTGAGCAACCACTGGATTATTTTTGGCCGATTGGGTCTCATCAGAATTCTAGATTTGAAGCATTCGTGACTGCAATGATTCATATTCTTAGGTTTTTTCGGTAAAGTCACGTAGGTAAAAAATTAAAATTCATAAAAGTATTTTACTTTTATTAATTTAAATTTTAAGTAGAACAATTAATCAAAGTATTTAACTTTTATTAATTTTAATTTAAATTTTTTTACCTACGTGACTTTACCGAAAAAAACTAAGAATATGTCTCATCAGAAGTCAGGCTTGTTAAACAAATGCAGCTGGGTTACTGGGCGTTATTGGGAAGAACGCATAATCGAATCTACGGGTTCACCAAAATAGCAATACTGTATATTCTAAACTCACCATGCGTCGTGGAGGAGCATTGTGTCAATTATTTAGATTCCCATTGACGCGAGGCGACTGCAGACCAGGGGCACATAGAGAGAGAGCTGTATTGTATCTCAGTGAGGGCCGTCTTGTCTTTACAGAATCTCTGGTTCTTCAAGTGCTCGTCTGCACACCAAAACGTTTGATGGCACTGACACGTGCTTTTAATAATAATAATAACAACGTCATTTTATAGAGCGTCATCCATACAATTTCATCCAACAACTCTGTACATGAATTCGCCAGTCCCTTACACAGATGATACAAAAACAAAACCCCACTACTTAGCAAATAGAAATAAAAATATACATAAATAACGAGAGAGAAAAATACACATAACAAGAAAAAAAATCACGGAGAAAATATATACTTAAATAAATAAGTATGCTCGGTTTATATATCCCAGACTAAATAACAAGCCCATGGTTGTAACCATGCAGGACCGCGTTACAAAGTGTGGCCCAGTTACACACTTGAAGTCCTTCATGCATCACATCTTTGAATGTGTTCGTTCAGTGTTTAGATTCCCCCGTTAGTGGGGGTGATATTACATTTCAAATGAACCCTTTGAACCTGTCAACATAACTGTTATCAACACTGTCGGCCAGGAGTCGGCAACCACAACAACAAGAAGGGACATTTTTTTCTAATTCGGTAAAACAAAAATAACAGCTCAATATTTCAAGAGCCGCAATGCAATGTGAAAAAGGTCACGAAGCGGTTGTTTTTCGGACGTATTTTTCGTCATCTTGTTTTATTGGTGACATCCTTTTAAATGTAACTTTGTTACCACAGATGAGGACGATGACGAAGAACCAGAAGAGGATGACGATGAATGGGAAGATTAAAGTCGAGCAATCGAAGACGGGATTTTGTAATGTAGAACAAACAGCACGTGCACCGATGCACACACGCACCAACTGAGGCACCGCACAAACGTAGAGTTCGTTCTTAATTATGGAGCTTTCGTGACTGCAGGAATTATTCACGTCTAAAGATAAAATAATATAATATAAAATAATATTTTAATTTATTATTTTATCTTTAGACGTGACTTAACCGAAAGAACCAAAGAATAAAACGTAGAGTTCGTGATAACGTTTTTTTTGGATCAGATCGCGTAAATGTAAATGTGTCGTTTGCCCACCTCCACCCGACACGGCCTGTGAATAAGGTTTGTCACGTAAACAAAACGCGCCAATTTGTTACTCCACATATCCGTTGTGCTAAATTAGTAACAAATTGGCACGTATCGTTCACGTGACAAACCTTCGGGTGGAGGTGGGATCTATGCCATATTTTAAGTCACGTGATATAACCCCCCCAAAAACGTCACCGTCAATAATATTGGTCGCGAACGGCAACGTGTTGAATTTACACACGTGTAGCGTTCGCGTGAAATTATGTTGTGAGTGCCCGTAGCAATTACATGGTAAAACAACTCTTTGACCAACTGTGTCTTAAGACCTAACAAATATGCGACATTTTCACGTGTTTTTAAAGTGTCTTCCCCCACTCGTATATATAACAGCTATGCCTGTGACAATCATAACATGTAGGAACGATGCTTTGACTTTTTTTCCTGGTTCTTTTTCTGATGTATTTGTAATGTCGACTGACCCACTCTATTCAAAACAGCAATGAGCTGGCTGACTTGTAATATCAATATAAATCTACGTGTTTAAGTGGAGACATGACACTCACTGTTGCGAGTATTTCATTTAAATATGCAAAATGTTTCGTTTATTTTCCAACATTACAGTATTTTTACTCATGTTAAATATGTACAAAATGTGATTCTTCTTTTTTGGTATCAATGAATTCATGTTGCTTTCATCTGTAAGTGATACAAAATACAATCTATTGTTAGTGTTCAGTGGAAAGGGCAACGCCAATTGATGACCAGGGGGGAATTAAGGGGCATCAAATGCGTCGCACATCTGACCATCAATGTGCACTCTGACCAATTAGCCGTCCATACCCAGTGCAGTGTTTGTGCGCAGTGATGGAACTCTGGTCCTCTATAGACGTTCGCAAATCCGACCTTTTGCCAACACGGTAACGTGTTCTCAATCTCACACGCCCAGCACGTTTGCCCATGTTAAACACAGTTTGCGCTTTACCATCAGGTGGTCAAGGTGTGGCGGGCATTTTAATGTAGATGGTCGCATATCTATCCATTTCACATATCCGCATATGTCTAAGTGCACAGTGAGTCGGATGGCTGATGATATTTCGCTGTTGTGTGTTTCCTGCTCCAAGTGGTCACCTCCAACTAAAACTGTGTTTTTGTTTGCTGTATACCTGGAGATGCAATGGTACAAACAATCTGTGTTTTTCTCGGCCACCAATGGGTCATTTGTAGATACTTCAGTTAATGCAGATTTTTTTAAATGCATTTCTTATTTTTTGTGATTATAAAAAAATGTGTGTTAATATGTACTGTAGTGGCATTGTCATGTATTCTAAATACAGTACCTGAATATGAACATAAATTACTTAGATGCGGTTTGGAAAACAGTCGATAAACGGTATATTTTAAGCCTGTATCCGTAGGTTATATACCATTGTTATGAGATCGCATTCACTAAATTATTAACAACCATATATTTAGTTCCCACTGACTCCAACCCTCGAGTTTTTCTAATTCTTAATGTTATAATGATTCAGGAAATTGAACGGTACCTGTGTTGACGTCACTATTTTAGTTCAGAAATAAAACGTTTGGAATTTCAAACATTGGTCTGGCTAATGTTGCCCCTCACTGCTGCACACTATTGTTTTAAAGAATGTATTACAATGACACACGTAACAATGGCACCTTCCTCCTTGCTTACACTCAATTGCTGGAAGTGTCTGCGTTCATCGGCATTCTCGTCTGCGCATTATAAAGTCGAATTTGTAATCCCTCAAACTTTGGTAACGTAAAGAAAACAACAATGGATTATAATATATCTGCACGTGAGGGTTAGTGTCGGCTATCGTCTCAAATCGGTGATACTCAGAGAAGAACCACCCCCAGTGCCTAGACCGAAATAATTTATGGGCGAGTACTGTAAATATTTAGTCGAACTGATTTATTTATATGGCTAATGAGAATGAATTGCTTGATAACCCTCTCATTTCAAATGGTGCTCACATAATTGACTATGAATTGAACTGCTCAAGTTATGCCAGCCACCTCAGATGGGAATCTACCGACAGGTGCAATTTCAGATCCTGGCTCATGGACTATTTATCTCCAAAGGGACCCAAGAGTTCTAGATTTGAAGTTTTCGTGACTGCAAGGATCCATACTCTTTGGTTTTTTCGGTAAAAGTCACGTAGGTTAAAAGAAAACAAATAAATTAAATCACGACGTTTCGGAGGCAACACAAGCTTCCGTCTTCAGGTGGACCCGTCACAGCAAAATTACTGTATCGAAAAAACCAAAGAGTATGGAGTGTTGAGAGCATAGCCATTCACGATCACCCAACCACTTTGTCTTTCTAGAAAGTGTACTCGCACTCAGCACTCCCTCAGCTAGTATGGTTCGCTACATACGGTGCGAAAGAAGTTCAACATGCATACATACATGTGCTGTACAACGAGTCTGAATATTTAACTCACAGTAATCCTCTTCTTGGTTCTTTCGGTAAAGTCACGTAGAAGGGAAGTAATAAAATAATAAAAATAAAACATAATAAAATTATTCTCACGACGTTTCGGCCACAACGCAAGCAGCCGTTCTCAGGTGAAAACCAGGTCCGTCGAGGCGACAGAGTCTGAATGAAACAGCACACGAGCTTGGAGCATATATATAAGCTGGGCGCCTTGACAAAAGAATTTGCATATCAAGAGGAATTTAGCATATTTATGGGAAATGCAGGAATGTGATTAGTACTACATATGCATGTGCATTATGCAGGATTAACAGCATCAAAGGGAGCTGCAGTTGCTGCTGCTGCTGCTGCAGTTGCTGCTGCTGCTGCAGTTGCTGCTGCTGCTGCAGTTGCTGATGCTGCTGCAGTTGCTGCTGCTGCTGCTGCAGTTGCTGCTGCTGCAGTTGCTGCTGCTGCAGTTGCTGCTGCTACTGCAGTTGCTGCTGCAGTTTCTGCTGCTGCTGCAGTTTCTGCTGCTGCTGCAGTTGCTGCTGTTGCAGTTGCTGCCTTATCCATTTTAATATAACACTATGTATTATTCTACCCACCCTAATGTGTATCACACTGCTATATATTTACTATACAATTACGACACCATACATTACTCTGCACACTGCACCATGCCAGTGAGTGGAACGCGGTCTGAAAGTCACCGTAAACGTGAACACAATCAGTTAAGATCCGAAATGGTTTATTACGTCCTTCCAATGATTGCTAAGCCAGAATCCATCTTCTCGGTTGAAATTGTCTCTGTGTTTGTAATCCTGTCAAAAATAACACAGTTCTGGGGGCAATGGTCGAGGCAAATAAACACAAGCAACGCTCGTTCACACACATTGATCACAACATGTTGCTCCCCTGTATCTCCGCTTAGCACTGTTGGTTACTTACGGTTTGAAAAAAAGTTAAATAGACATACAACAGATAAGTAGAGAATCATTAGATATTAGTCGTCAATTGATATTAAACTCAGAGGAAATACTCAAGGCAAACACGTATATTTTATTACAGCTGATTGATTTCCCACATATGTAACAGTTTTACGTCCCAGTAATCCTGATACCCAAGTTTACCAGCTAGGATGGAAGAGAGTAACATATACACAACGTCACAAGAGATGCGAATACACAGCACAGTTTGAGTTTGATGCAGAATGCTGTTTTAGAATCAAGTCAATACATCTAGATTTATTGTTGGTAAAGGAACTTCTGGTAAAACCCTCAATTCTGTTTAACACTTAAACTATGGCGCTGTTCAAGGCTCTGGAAAGTCAAGCAACGTTTAAAATTGGTAAGGATCTTTTAATTATTTGCATAGGCTGTTCCGTGCGTCAGTGGGCATGTGACTCAGAGGTAATCGTGATACCCCGTGGACGAAGGAGAACTGGAAACCCCGAATTCCAGTCCTATGCGACTCGTTTTGGACAGCTCTGCTGTGCTGCATCATGTTTAACACAATTAAACCAAATCATACGAGTGTATGATGAAAGGATAATGAGAAACATGTAGCTCATGTGATTTAGACCCAATATACATACCTGACTGCAAGGTTTAGCTGTCCACCAAGACATTTGTTTAACCAACCAATTAGTAGAGTTGAGTTGTACAAAAAAGGTTTAAATTAAGTGCTGACACAGCAGTGTGAAAGGACTTGTTATAAAAGTCCAGTATCAGAGAAAAGGGAACTAGTTGGACGTGTGCTTTCCTAAAAATAAACGTTTGGTCAATGACGTGTAAAACATCTCGGAAAATATTTCTGTTTAAAGGAACACCCATTTCCCGATGTAAAATAAGTAGAGTATAGTGCATTTGTTAAATGAAGTAATTTTCCAACATCTGGCAATACATTCAAGGTTGGTGATATGCTATGCACTTTCTTTTATGACTGTCATGCCCAATAAAATAACAAAATGCACAATGTTAATAACCCAACCATAACAAATTGTCTTTAATACAATTGACAAACGCTGATCTCTAAACCAGGTGACAGCCCATTGAGAAAATGTATCTTTTGCAAGATTCTAGGTCGAAAAATCCACGTAGATTACACAACTCTTTAGATGCAAGAATTTTAAAAGTCTAACGTGATTTCCTTCACACTCAAATTAATTGCGTTCCCAATATTAAGTATGGGAAATTGCCCAAGGGCAGGTTCTGGACTCACATTTGCCTTATCCAGCCCCATCCTTTGGTTTTCTTCTTCAATTCTGCACACATCCCCCCTTCTATTACTCAGATTATATGAATAGAAATAATCTAATTTCCTCTATTATATATTTATTCGAAAAAATGCAAGGGTGTTCGGTGGGATATGTTTTTAAAGGATTTATGATTTGTATCCATCATATGCTAGGTTTCCAATTCACCTTTTGTTTGGATAAGTGCAATTTACCATATTTGATAAAAAAATGTAAGCAATGTTGATATTATGAATTAAAATGTAAATGCATTTTCTTCCAAAAGAAATATGTTACTTGAGGATAGGATAATTATATAAGAACTTAACGTTTTGTGGAATACATATATTTATGATGTGGTGAATAATTTTAACTTAGAAATAAGACATTCTTTCAATTACAGTTATCATCAAGAACATACTGTGCAAACCACGTGAATCACAGTATACAATTGCAGTAGTATAATATATTGAAGAGAAACAATTGCGTTTTGGAAGACGATGTTTCCCAACTGTTTTGAATGAATAATAAATGATTCAAATAATCCGTATTAGTTCCCCCTCCCTCAAATATGACGTCACAAAGCTCTACCCCCCCCAAAAAATAAAACATGCTTCAAATCGCTTTAAACTATTGTCATTGTAGTGCGTATTTAATGTGCCGCTGCACTCTGATGTTGTAGGAGAAAACATGTATTAAAAATTCTATTTAATTAAGTAGAACATGTTGTCTATTTTTATTTAAAGTTGCGCATTTTTACGTGACGTCACATTTCTCAAACCCATCACCCCCTCGTCACGCATCGTCACAAATGTCTGACCCCACCCCCCCTAGGTGCGTGACGTCATTTATGGACGGCCCCTTAGAGTATTTAGCTGCTTTAAATTTCCACTTCATTAGACTATAATTTGTGGCCAGGTCACTTTTGAAAAAAAACCCAGCTACATAACTCAAGTGGGCCTTACCTTCTAAAATAAAACAAAATAGTTTTTGTTTGTTAAAGAAGTCCATATATTAATGAGTATCAAAACCATTGAAACTCATCATGGGAACTCGTTTGCCAGTACAAAAATATACTAATAGGGGTTTTCCCCTTTTTTCTGGCAACAAAACTGACACCTTTTGCAAGGAATCATGCTTACAGGCTCCAAAGAAAGCTGTCACTGGTGTGGACCAATCAGTTTCAAAGACAATGCATACATTATTAGAGTATTGTTTTTTGTTTGCATTTGACTGCAAGTATTGTGGTTAATGTAAGCATGATTCCTTGCAAAAGGTGTCAGTTTTGTTGCCAGAAAAAAGGGGAAAACCCCTATTAGTATACATTGAAACTCAATCATTTGGCCTCATACAATCGGGTGGTGGGTGTGGGTGCTGAATGAACAGCGCCCTCTCGCGTGAGAAGCGGCGATGTCACCGCTCTTGTGATTGGCCGAGACGAACGTCCCACTTGTTTCCGCGGGACCAATCGGATCGGCCGTTACATGTTTTTCTTAATTCTGATCCGGGTTCACGAGGCACGCGGACTCCGCTCTCTGTGTGTTTGTGCTGTCCGCCCGCGTGAAAAGTCTGTCGATATTTTAAACTTATTTACAACGTAAGACGTTCTCAATGTTATTGTTGTTGTGTTGTTGTTTTTTTTCCACCTCCAAGCAGACTTGGCCGTGTCATTACCGGCGCAGAATAGTGCAAAGTGTATCTTGAAACTATGCATCGTACGGTATTCATACTCCATGGCTCTGCGTCGCTGTCAGCGTAATCACCTACATTGTATTGTACCCTATATAGAGTGGGATCGACCGTGACATAAGTTGCCCGTTTAGTGGTGAAACTAAGTCGATCTTAAATAAGTTGCGAAGACACGTAACGTATGCGCTTTCAGATTCTTGAGTTTCAACACGTGGTATTTCCTAATTCTTAGGTTTCAATGAATGGACTCCCATTTAGGATGGCTGGCTTAAGGGACCGTCCATAAATGACGTCACGCACCTGGGGGGAGGGGGGTCAGGTATTTCTGACGAGGGGGGGGGGGTGAGAAATGTGACGTCACATCAAAATGCGCAACTTTAAATACATACAGACAACACGTTCTACTTAATTAAATAGCCTTTTTAATAAATGTTTTATTCTACATCAGTGCAGCGCCACATTAAATACGCACTACAATGACAATAGTTTAAAGCTATTTGAAGCATGTTTTTTTTGTTTTCATATTTGAGGGGGGTCTGACTTTTTGTGACGCCGTGTGACGGGGGAGGGGGGTAAAACATCGTCCAAAATCGCGTGACGTCATTTATGGACGGCCCTTTAAGTTGGGACTGTGCTGAAGTTAAATGTGTATCTGGTGTGCAAGTTCGGACTTTGGGTTCCAGTTAAATGTATGAGTAAAATTAATGAGAGGTTCAATGAGAAATGAACTGACGGATTTGAATGGCAGTGTTGAATTAAGTAGTTAACACTTGGTTGGACTAATACTCGTGGAGTTTTTTAAACGTCACAACTTTGAAAAAACACTCCAAACATGTTCGTCAGTAGCACTGGCGTTGAAAGGAGAAATGTGTAATAGGCGACCGTAATGGGCTGAAAACTTTAATATATTTTAGCCTAAACACTTCTGCATAACACCATTGGTACCTCATTTACCAGTAAAAAATATGATAATTGGGTTTTTACCCTTTTATCTGGCAACAAAACTTGAAGTTGATTGAAGTTGATTGGACCAATCTACTTCAAGTGCAGTGCATACATTATCAGAGTTATGTTTTTTGTTTGCATTATGACTGCAGGTATTGTGGTCTATGCAAACATGACTCCTCGTAAAAAAGGGTGTCAGTTTTGTTGCCAAATAAAAGGGTAAAAAAACAATTATCACTTCTGCATAAGTGACCAGACGAATGTATTGGCATACTTTGTTTCCGCATTAAAACGTATCCTGAATACCTGTGTGTGTGTGTGAGCTGTATGTTTCTTCTCCTGTGGTTATTACTAAAGGTTGTTGACGCATCCCTTAATGTGCTCATTGTTTCTGGTGGGAAGCGCACGGCGGTTGCAGGCGCCATGGAGGAAGACCAAGAGGACGGTGTGGAACGATGCACATCGACACTATTACATCGGCACACACCCCGGATTCTGCGGGGCCATCAAGCAGTCTCCAGAGGACTTCATTGTCGTAGAGATCGATGAGCACAGCAACAGAGCGGACGCCGACCATTTGGTACCGGGCGATGGTCCTTCAAGCCGACTTGCACGTCACGCTCCCTACCCCTGTGCACCAGTCGAAGCCAAACGGCCAAAGCTTGACCCTGAGCGGTGCGTTAACGTGCCCGTGGAAATTGTCCCGCGGTGCGACTTTCCTGCCGTGGTGGGCCCGGCTTCTGGGGAGCGTCCCCTGGGTGAAGGCGTTGCGGAGGAGGAGGAGGTCGAGCAGCTCCTCCCGGACGCGATATTTGACGACGCCGACGCGGACGCGGCTCTTGAAGCCACTTGCGAGGTGACGGGCGTCCGAAACCCCGTGCTCGCGGAAGACGTGGCCGAGGCGCTGGGAGATTTCGCAGCGGCGGAGCGCGAGGCGGCGGCGATGCTCTTGCCCGCGCGTGAAAGGAGCGACGCCGGCTGCCTCTCCCTTGGACTCTTCCCGGACAAAGAGACGAGAGCCGAGGTCCATCGCACGGTCCGTCAGAGGTTTCCCTTCCTCAAGACGATCACCAGTGGCACTGAAATTAAGGTGAGCGCACACGGAGCGCAGGTCCATCGGCCTAGTAAATTGGTGCTCGGTATTTTAGCTGACGTCAGATATTTCTGTATTTTTGTACGTTTCTGCATATTTAAATTGGTTATTCAGTGTGCTTGAGTCATGTGAAAGTTCACTGGTTCAAATCTAAGACTCGTCTCACAGCAAGCTAATGTCGTGCAGTAAAAAAATCATTTGTTTTATGATGTGCGTTGACTTAAATGGGTCACAGTGCATAACAGTGCTGCTATATTTGAAATAATAGTGCAAGCTCTGTGACATCCTGATAATTAACATTACTTAAAGTAATGTACTTTTAGCTCCCAGAGTACTTTCTCTGCCTGGCTGTCACAATTGTGAACCTGGGGTATGGACGTTCCTCACACCATGCAGGGTGAACCAGTGTGCTCCAGTCGTGAGCGTGCTATGCTATGAGCCCAGTGGCCTGAGCTCAGTTCCCGTCTTCAGCGAACATCGGTGACAAGTGATATCAGAACCGGTCCTGTCCTCTCCCCATCCAACCCACACTGACCAGCATGGTGAAGTATGGTCAGAAATCTCCCTTGACTGACACCGGCATGTGGATGCCTTCATCACATTGATGCCTTGAAAATGGCTGGCATTTTTAAAAATGTTCTACATATGGCAGTAGTGAACATGTGCAAGATTCGATTAAGGATGATATTTGTTATTCTTCTTGGTTCTTTCGGTAAAGTCACGTATAATTGAAATAATAAAATAATAAAAACAAATATTTTATTATTTTAATTCTACGTGACTTTACGGAAAGAACCAAGAAGATGAATCCCTGCAGTCACGAAAGCTTTAAATCGAAATATTTGTTATTTATAATGCCCGTGGTCTGAATCAACGACTGCATGAATTCGTAGCACGTTCACCGAGCCCTCTGTCGCTACCACTGACAGCAGACACTTTTCGGCCGCAGGTGACGGCTGACCCCGTGTACGCGGAATTCCGGGGTCTCGTTTCGGAGGAGGAGGCCGATGGGTTCTTCCGTTTCGTCGACGCCAAGCGAAGGGACGCCACGTTCACGTTCCTCGCCGACTCGCAGCGGGCACGCAGGGCGGCTGTGCACCACGCCGTGACGCGCCACTTCGGCAAGGTCCTGGAGACCAAGAGCTTCTCCGAGGCTCGCGGCGGCTGCGGTGGAGGGCATTGCACCAGGATCGTGGCTCGGTTCAAAGGGGGGAGGGCGCCGAGCAAGAAACGCAGGGGCGCAGATGTCGGGGCCTCGGGGAGCGAGGACTTGGATTTGATTGACGGCGACGTCTACACCGGTAAACTTTTTGTCTGTTTGAAAGTCAACGGTAATTTTCGTTGTTGTATGTCGGAGATATGTTGTTCACCAAGTTATTCCCCTTTAGTCAATCGAGTCCTATATCAACCAGGTAATGAGTCATTTAAGACTGAAAGTCTTTTCATCGTGAGGGTTATTTGGTCATATAATGGTGAGTGCGGGTTGGTTAGCATAGCTAGCGGCATGCCTGTCTGTCTGTCCTGTAATACTTGTACATACAGGGCTGTTGTGACTGTTAATGTGCCCTGCAGTGTTCACTTTGCAAAAGACCAACATGGAGACACTGGGAGTGATCAGCATGCTGGCTTCAGAGCTGGGAGTCCTCCCGAGTGACTTCAGTTACGCTGGCACCAAAGACAAGAAGGCCGTCACCTTCCAGAGGATGGTGGTTCAAAAAGTGACCCCCAGCAGGTACGCCGATGTGAGTTATAGGCCTGGGGTGAGGAACTTTGTTCTTACCGATTGTGCTTTCAGGTTCTTTTGGCGGGCAGCACAGCAACTGACACGAAAGCTTGGCTCATGCAAGGACTCTGTAGGTTGACAGTGTGCATGGCACTGTTTGAAAGACAAAAGTTGGCTGAGCGTGAGAACGTATAAACGGTTTTGCTCGGTCGAAAATTAACCCCTCTAGTACCCAATTAGTGCAGCCCTCGATGCCGACGGAGCAAATACAGCAGTCAAGACGGAACGGAACAAACACGAAACAAACAAACATAAACGAGACGAAAATTTATTTCTTTTAAATTCAGTCATGAACCAGGATCGTGACATTGAATCGCTGTGGGGTGAATCGTTACGTGGGCTGTTCATTCCAGGGGGAGGCAAAAACATTGCCCCCCCTGACCTTGAAGGATTTGGTCCCTCGTCGGAGAAACCCAGCGAAGGGTGAAGCCCGTTCGTAACGTAGTTTGCCTGCCAGTGTCGCACGTCGTGTCCCGGGTAAGTTGGGTGAGTTTCCTCCTCATGGCATGGGTGTACAAGTTGTGGGATTTTGTCTCTGAAACATGGTTTTACCATGTTAACCCTTTCTTCTTCTGAGACATCTGCAAGTTGGTGGGTGGCTTTCATTCACCGCTGAATCTCGGAATGCGCAAGCGGTTAGCGCTAATTTAATTTAGAGAGGCCTAGCGCCGTTAGAGAACCGTAGCGGCACGACCGCACTCTACGACAGCTGGCGGCAAATACTGTGCCACGCCCTCCCGCATGGCCTTGTGGGAGCCTCGGTACGTGGTCCGACCTAAAGTTGTACCGATAAAGTTATTTTCTTTTTTCTTTGTACGCGTACATCATCGGAATAGGAATAGGTTAATAGCCTCTTCGTTAATTCCTGATCTCATTTGGCCTCGGGATTTCAGTGTTGTATCAAATGGCGATCCATTGCTGAACGATGGCCTTGCCTGCCATCTTGGTGAGTGGTGTACAACCATACTTCACCACGCTGGTCATTGCTAGTTGGTGAACCATGGGGACTCGGGACCGGCTCAGATGTCGCTTGTCACGGATGTCAGCCTTTGTCAGATGACAAACTCGGGTGCGGTGGGTTCAGAGTGTTGTGTGGGTGAATCATCAATGTACCCACCAGTCCAAGGGACAGAGAGACATACTTAAAAAAAACTATAAAATTAAAATATATGTATTTAACCTGGTAAGGCCCACTGAGATATACAGCTCTTTTTCAGAAGCAGCCTGGCCACAACGAAGTGGCTTATCACGTGGACATTTATAGCAGCCAAGTACTCTGAGTGCATGTTTATAAATGCGGAGGGAAAAACCGTAGGGCCTGGAAAATAATCCACTCGACCATGGGCATCAGGGTCAGGATTGAACCCACGACCCCCTGTCTACCAGGCGAGGTAGTTAACATCTCGACACCGTACTTTAAGTTCTATGCAAATGTTTCACAAAACCTCCGCCACACACGTGACAAGTTTCATTTCTGTGCGACCATCCGTTCATGGTCTGGGGGCAAAATCGTTTGATGCCCGAAATAAAACGTGCAACAAATCCCAGGTGATCGTTTCACGCACCAGCTCAGAAATTGTGTACGGCAGTCGACACTAGATGGAGCAATACGACAGCATTTTACTTGATGCGCATTAACCCATACAGAGTTAGGTGTTTAACGGTGAGTAAATACTCTACTGTTTCATACCTAGAGTACATTCGATATAGATAGAATCCAAATTCGTGAATGAAGCACAGCCTCCAATAAGTACACACAATAACCACTTATATCTATGGGGACCTTTATTTCGGTATCAATATGATGACCAGAGAATACCAAACGGCGATCAGCACAAATACAATGCAAATATCAAAGTATTGATAGCTCGGGTGAAGCAGTTCTTTGTGGTGACACAAGGCCATGAAGGCTGCTCTCTCTGGTGTAGGCCAATCAGTTTTAAAGACAATGCATACAAACATGATTACCAAATCATGTTTATTTGCATGATTTACCACAAGCACGTGTGGTTAATGCAAACACGCGGTCATGTAATTGATCATATTTTGCATATCGTACCTGAAGTTGAATATATTTAGATTGTGATTGTGCAATGAATTTACAGTAATCATTGATTACTTGTTCAGCTTTTTCCTATACATGGCTCCTGCATTTCGATTATAGTATTCAGAAGGGGGATAGAGCCCTGGGTGTAATGGTTTGTACGCTGTGCAGTGAACCGAGTACCCGGAGTGTCCACGGATGCGCCAACCTGCGCTCACCTGCACGGCGAAGTATGGTCAAACAGCCCGCGTGAACGGCACGGCATGGGGGAGGCCTTCAGACAAAAGGCTGTACAATATGATGTTTCAGTTTTTATTGTTCACGAACGATAATCTCTTGGGTCACGTGGGATTAGCTCAGCGTTTCAGCGTCAGTCACTGGACATGGAACCGGATACTTCTTGATGGCAAATGTTACTGCCGCGTTACACGTTTCAAATTGTATGACGTTGAAAACAAATTTCTTTAGAACTGCTTTTTTGTGTTCAGTGTGTTTTCTTTTCCCCCGCACCTCCAATGAACATGGTTGGCATGTACGGTGTGAAAGAAGTCCAACATACATGCGCGTGTCATATATGCTACCGTGGAAAGAACATCTGATTTCACCATTTTTTTTTTCAGATTCCATAAAAAAAATAGACATTGCTATACGATCGCAGGCCTGGTTATTTTTTGCCACTTGTCAAATGTGGTTTCGGTTTTACTCACGCTGGCAACGCGACCTCCCGCAGCGCTCCTGGACTCACACCCCAGAGGTCGCCCATTCCACTCCATGCGCCGGCGCGGCAGTTTTAAAACGACGGTGCACGTTTGTAAAAATCACCCCTGCCTGCCCATCTCCGTTAAAGCCAGCGGAATCGATGGGTTACGCCCACACCCAGTGTGTTCAGTGGGTCTCGCGCGGTGGGCTAAAGTGTGGGTACGAGAAGAGGAGGGCAAATACCATCTGCAGGGGCTCTCTAAGGCTCCCTCTCGTGGCACGGGCAACTGCTTGCAGGGTTGCACCTTTAGCTACTAAGTCGAAACTAAAACTATATACTAAACTCATAATATAGGTTTTTTTTGGGTTAGATCGCGTGAATATAAATGTGTCGTTTAACCTGCCACCACCTGACAAAGCCAATTAATGAGGTTTGTCACTTAAATACTAACCTATTTTTATCATAATTTAGTTTTTTTTGGGTTAGATCGCGTAAATATAAATGTGTCGTTAAACCCGCCACCACCCGATACAGCCAATTAATGAGGTTTGTCACGTAAATACTAAACTATTTTAATTTTACCAGGTAAGGCCCACTGAGCAATATGGCTCTTTTTCAGAGGTGACCTGGCCACAAATGGTTGCTCAAAGAAGTGGCTGATCACGCGGAAATGTATCGCAGCCAAATACTCTGAACGCACGTTGATTCTCAATGTGGAGGGAAAAACCGGAGGACCCGGAGAATAATCCACGCGACCACCACGAGGCGAACGCGCAAACTCCAAACACACAGGCGTCAGGGTCGAACCCGCGACCTCCTGCGTACCGGGCGAGACATTTAACGTCTCGATTTAAAGCTTTCGTGACTGCAGGGATTCATCTTCTTGGTTCTGTCGGTAAAGTCACGTAGAAGGGAAATAATAAAATAATAAAAATAAAACATAATAAAATAATTCTCACGACGTTTCGGACGGCTGCTTGCGTTGTGGCCGAAACGTCGTGAGAATTATTTTATTATGTTTTATTATTATTATTTTATTTTTTCCCTTCTACGTGACTTTACCGAAAGAACCAAGAAGATTTAACGTCTCGTCGAGAGTAACGGCTGTGCCGATGGCAAGTTGACCCCTTTCCTCGGCAGGTTGCAGGAGGCGTCCGCGAGGCTGGAGGCGAGAGGCCTGCGCGTGGCGGCGGCGTCGCGAGCAGCCCGCCCGCTGCGACTCGGCGAGCTGTGGGGGAACCATTTCCGCATGACGCTCAGAGGCGTCGGGGCGCCCACAGCAACCCCACAGCGGGACGACGCCTGCCGTGCGGGACTGCGTCGAGCGAAGCGTGCGTGGAGTCGCGGTGAGTGTCCGGCACGTCGCCGCTGCCGCACGTCGTGTGTAAATAAAGCACTTAAAAATATACAAATACAACTTTGTTTAAATTACCTTGCCGGGTAAAGCTCACTGAGATATTAACGTATTCGTCAGAAGCGACCTGGCCCACAAACGTATTGCACGAGGTGGGATGAGAAGAAATAAAAGTCTGTATGTATGTTGAACTTCTTTCGCACCGTACGTAGCCAACCGTGCAAATCGGAGGTGCGGGTGACGGACACCAAACTAAAACGCAAAAAGCAGTTTTAAAGAAATTAGTTTTCAATATAGATTTAAAAGTGCATAGCTCCAGTGGCTTCCTAAAATCAGAAGGTTGAGCGTTCCAGACGGCCGCAGAAGTTGCATCTGAAAGCGTGCGATGCGGTGACCATCTTTGTTTGATGGCTAATCAAAAACCGCTGCGAGGATGGTTTATGCTCCTTGATGAGATCAGCAAGGTAATGTCGTTCATTTGTGGCAAGCACTTTGTGTGTGCACTGAGTGCGACCTTATCATGTAATCCGTTCAGCAACCGGAAGCCAATGCAGCTTGCCGAGCACTGGACGGACACGCTGATAAAATCATGCTCGCGCATCTGCAGCCCGTTTTGTCAATGCACTGCCGGGTTGAGGGCCCACCCAGTCACTCCTTGCGGGGCTGTGAAGGATATTTGACCGAATGTCACCCACGCTGGTGCGTGCGGATTTGGCGAAGGTGGGGAGAAGTGTAGAAGATATTACTGCACGGCCCTCGATTCCCGCAAAGCCTATTGCAGCTGTGCTTTGCGCGTGGTTATCACCAATACAGGTGCTGTCCGGGCTTTAACGTTTTTACCCGTCCCTATGTAACGTGTGTGAAAAATAGCCTTACAGCTCATCGGATTCTTCCAGTATCAATAAATATTTTGATTCCGATAAATCTTGCGTAGCTTCCAAAATCATGATGTTTATTTAGACTGGAGGAATCCATTGAGCTATTAAGTTCTTTTTCACAGATGTACAGTCGGTGATTCGGTCATTGGCAAACATATAACACGTAGACTTTTATTTACTGATACAGAGATTCTTTGCAACAAGAAAATGTTATGGAAGCCTTGCTGAGTCTCAAGATTTTCACATGGATAATTTGTTTTTATTGAGTAGATATGTAATGGTGCAATGGTTCATTAGGTGAAAATGTTTTCCGAAGTTTACGATGCACGTGTTAAATTGTGGGCATAAGTACAATTTGCTCTTGATTTGTATGTGTTGCGCTTAATTGGTTCGCATAAACTCTAAAGCTATGCAGCCATGAGATTAGACATGCACCATTGTTTATTGTAGAGTTGAATCGCAAAGCCTGAATGGTAACACGCTCATCGTTGATAATTATTTTTGGAAGTGGGAACAAAATGGTTTGCCCAGAGAAATCCCACTCGCACAAGGGGAATAGACTAAAATATCAAATTAATAATCCAGTAACCGACTATCTGAACTGCCCTTTTTATGCATGTTTAAGCATTCAACATGGCAGCTACCTGGAGGTTGGATGATGCATTGAAACGGATAAATCTAAAACCACGGAATGAAAATGAAGTATATTTTTACTCGTACGGTTGTGCATTTAGGAGCATGGATTTATCAACTATTATGGGCTCCAACGATTTGGAGCAAGCCAAAGCGTCAAGACGGATGAGATTGGTAAACATCTGCTTAAAGGCGAGCTGGTGAGTGTTTATTATTCAGCAATTTCACATTGGCGACTTTTTTTTATGTATAATTAAATTTATCAAACGTGACATACAGTGATAGTAAAGGTTACTGTCACGTCACTTTATGGAAATGATCACAATACGGAATCACAAAGAGATGGAGTCACGTAACATTCAGCAAATACGTACGGGCGTGTAAAACGTGTAGGCGCGGAAAACATATACGCACGTGAATTAACCTGCGCCGTCCTGCCTTTAGCAGTTTGTGTTCAAGCAGGGATGGACTCGGCACTCCTGTCCAGGGAACAGTCCCACACCGGAGATAGAGAGAAACATTCCATTCTACTAATCTGGGAGAAAGTAATTTGCTTTGTGAGACCATTTGCAGTTGCTCACCTCCCTTCGTATAGAGCAGCGGTGGGGAACCTTTTTATAACATCATTATAACATCATTCGCGGGCCATACAAAATTATCAACTTAAAAATTTGCCTGTTATATTTGGTCAAACATTTAATTAACTCACCCCTAATGTGATGGGCTGGAACTGCTTCTCTTTGGTGAGGCGTGTGATGTTAGCTGGTATTGATGATGTTGCTACTCGCAACTGCTTTTCCAGGCCCGCGGTCTGAACGTTCCCCACCCCTGGTATAGAGGCATGCAGATGTTCTCGAGCTGTCACTAAATAATTCTATATATTTAACGATTTTTTCATGCCAAATGTTAAACTCTGGTGGACTTTGTTCCTTCGATTCTCATGGTGTGGTGAGACCAGAGTTTTGAGGTTCGCACTTAATTTTGTTTAATCAGTGAACAGATAGCTGCATTCGCAAGATGAGCCCGGGCCACCAGATTGACAAAAGCAGCAGCAACATAGCAAATATAAATTACAGCAAAATATAAACACGCCACAGAATAAAATTTAAAATGCTGTATTAACATAAATGATTAATATATGACAAATAAAGGTCCTGTATAGGCAATAGGCTCGGACAAATTATATTCCACAAAAAAATCTTAATATGTATTTGAGTGATGCTTGTACTGGTATGTAAATAGACGTGGATTCATGTCAGATGAAATTGCCCGTTAAGTTATCGTACAGAATCGACAAGTGGTACTGACATTGGAAGGCCCAGAACACAGAGTTACAAGATCGGACTAAACGCTGCTGGCCACGTGGTTTTCATATTGAATAAATAGCCCAGTGGCCAAATAAAAAAAAAACGATATGGAGATACTGCTCCCCACTTTGGAACAAAACACAAATCCTATAATCGTTTCCAATGGCTGTTTAAACCATCTAGAGCATGAATTCTGATTTCCACAACCAACGTTTACCGTTCACCAACACAATTGTCTTATATAGCAACAATATCGATTGTGTTTAGTTCTGAAGTGGGGAGGGCTTCGACGGATCAGATCAAGTCCGACACGGCTAAATATATTGAACATCTCTGCACGGCCAAAAAGGGTGTTCATATTATGGGAACCTCATTTGCCAGTAAAAATATGATAATTGTTTTCTTACCCTTCTATCTGGCAACAAAACTGACACCTTTTTACAAGGAGTCATGTTTGCATAGACCACAATACCTGCAGTCATAATACAAACAAAAGACATAACTCTGACAATGTGCACTGTCGTTGAAATTGATTGGTCCACACCCGAGACAGCTTTTCTTAGAGCCTAGTCTCACATGGGTTGGACCAGATGACGCCAAAGGCGCCTTTTGGCGCCTTTTGCGGTCTATGCAAACATGACTCCTTGTAAAAAGGTGTCAGTTTTGTTGCCAGATAGAAGGGTAAAAAAACAATTATCAGGGTGTTCATTTGTTTGATGAACCGAGCGTGAGCATCTGTAGGACTACTTGGTTCCAAAGTAGATGTCATTTGGTCCCAAGCCTCCTCACGATCTCATGCGGAGAGACTTTCCGGATGAGACTTGCCCTAGAGATACCGTTACATGTCTGCACGCGGATGACACCGCATACGTGCAGTGCGATGTCACGTTATCCACCCGTCGTCGCTTATCAACCGTGACCAATTAACCACCCACACCCGGTGCAGTGTGTGTGTGTGTGTGCACTGTGTAAATATCGTTTTCTATGGACGTTCTACACCATATCTGATCTTTTCACACATCCGCCCGTGCCTCAGTCCCCAGCGAGTCCGACATGAAATTGTAATGTGTTTTTTTTAAGTGTGCCTGCCATTATTTTTTATTAATGTGCTTATTGAATATATCCGAGATTTTGTTTTCGCCCCTTTTTGTCTTGTTAATTCAATTCACTCTCTTTTTATAGGCAACATGCCCGTTGCGTTACATCTGGTAAATGAACGTAATTGCTCGTATTTTTTGCATTCGCTCCTGCCGTAAATCCGCATTTTAACGTGTCTGCGTCGAAGGTTAATTCAGTGTCTTGAATTCACCTTGATTGCTTGCCCTCATCGGAGTAAATATGAATTCGTCTCATGTGCAAACGCCCCACTGAAATTCGTCTTTTATAGCAGTGCTGGACATAGAGCGGCGCAACGATGGTTGTCACACACGGGAAATGTATTTCTAGCTACAGACAGCCAGTAATAGATTGCACACTGGTCCTGTAGTTGCTTTGATATAACTTCAAGTTTCTCAACCGACTATTGCCTCCGTTAAGTTTTTATTATTATCTCCCATTGTATAGAGCCCTACACATTACCCACAAAAAAAACATTTTGCACGTGTTTGCATCCCTAATACATCTTGCCAATTCTGAATAACATCAGCAGTTGGTCATGCGTTGTTGTTATATACTCTTGAGTTGGAAAGGCCAAATGCAGCATGTTGGGTTGTTTTGTTTATAGATTTAGCGCACTCAAAGAGTGAACCATTTTTTGTTTGCTTTGTGGCACCTCGCTCAAGCCGCCTGTGGTCACATGGTATGGGTCGCAAAGTTAAACTGGCAGTTCGTGAAAGGCATAATGTGGTAAGCCTGACTTAATTCATCACAGGCCCTGTTTGACAAAGACTTTTATTGCTGCCAACTGTATATTAGCTGTAGGTAGTCTGTCTGGCTTGGATATGCAAGTGAACAAAACTATGCCTGCCATCAAATTAAAATTAAACAATGTTCTGGGAATAGCTGTGCGTGTTATGCGTGTCGTAATCACGCAGAAGTATTTTCCGTGTGCTATATGCGGGATGAAATCGTTTAGCGCTTCGCATATCTTGAATCTGCGTGCTTTTTCACATCATGTTACTGAGCAGTGGATGTTTAAAGTCCTTTTACGCAGCAGTGCGCAGGGAAAAGTCACGCGTTTTTTTTTTTAATGTGTACGATTGCAGTTGCGTGGATGGCTTTGGGTTTAGGAACCGCGGTGTTTGTTTCTGTAAATATTTCCCAAAAGAACGAGGCTTCGCAAAAATAAACGAGCAGGCATTTTGTACTTTTAATACGTTTAGATACAAAGTACTCGAGGCCAAAATTGGGCAGTTGGTGAGGCAAATTTCAGTGCTTGATGAGCTAGCAAGGGAGCAGGGGAGAGCAGGTGTTCGTATTTTTGTTTAATGCGACACACCGGCCAGACTAAACACAAATACGGCACTTACGTGCGCTCCGCCTAATAACCGCTATAATTTTCCACTCGTGTTTATTTTGCGCCGCATTGTCTTCTCGGTATTTGGCAGCGCGCTCGTTCGCGAACTGCGCGTTGGCATTTTGGTTCGGCGAAACCTTCGCGGCGATCTCCTGGGATGGCAAAACGAACCCCCGCCACCACCACCTCCGTATAAGCGCCCCGTGCATTTTACCCTCGCTTGGCACAATTCTACGAGGCAAAGCACGCACACACACCCCGGGCACTCGACACAACCTCCTCGCACCAGCTCCCCCCTGCCACGGGAACGTCCTCGATTGTCCCGAGCGCGTCCAGGGTCGCCGGGTGTGCGCCGCGGCTTCTTGGTGAGCCATGTCGAGTCAAGGCAGCGGCCGTGCCACGAGCGTTGAGAATTTGCCGGAACCCCACCGGCACGTGCGTGCGGGTTAAATTCCTGCCGGTTCGCGGACGCCGCCCGTTATTTAAATGGCGAAAATAAACGGCGGTAAAGCTACCGGCTCGCTCTGATTTGAAGTTTCTCCGTCTGGAACGCTGCCCCGCGTGCCCGCCGCTGCACGTTCACGGCGGTCAATCTACGCCGACTTTTGAGAGAGACGAAAAAGGGCCCCCCCCCCCCCCTACAGCCCCGACCTGTTTCGCCCCGGCTCTCAAGCGACACTGATCTTGGCTCCACGCCTCAGTCACGGTCATTTATCTCTTTGAAATACTGCCCGTGTTACAAATTGCATCATTATTATTAATGCATCGTTAAGCCTAAGAACAGATAACTGTGAATAAATGCATCATTACATGTCTACTTGTGACTATACATTTGTAATACAATGATAGTTTGGTGAGTGATATCTGAACTGTTCTGGGTGGTGGCGTTGGTTTGGCCCTTCCCCAATCTGCACTGACCAGCACGGTGAAGTATGATTAAACAATCCCTCTGACCGATATGATGCGGGGAGACCGTAGCCCATCACCTCCGATTAGTGCGGTTGGCTATGCACGGTACGAAAGAAGTTCAACGTACATACATCAGTAGTTGACAGAGGGCTGGTAAATTAATATATAAAAGGCAAACATTCTATTTTTTCCTGCTTCATGGTAAAGCATAGTCGTATTTATGAAGTAGAGCTGGCAGATACGAGTGTTGTTGTCACGTGATTTTGGTCTGTCGTTAGATTTTAAAAAATGTTTTTAAAGATGATTGGCTGTCGAGACATCATGACTTTCTCCCTGCAGCGATAAGCGGAACTCATAGCAAGCACCGTTTCATGTATCCATTTAGAGACGAAATAATGAAATATTCCACGGGCCTGTCGCCAATATTTCACCAGTAACACGCTCCCGAGAATCCATTATCTTATTTTTAGCCCTTTAATCGGCACTTTAACAAGAATTTAAAGTTGGGTAAATATAAAAAGAGAAGCCA